TCATGGCTTAAATCTCAGTTTTTTCTCTTATTTTTCTCTATTATCAGTCGAGCTGTGTGAGATGCACATACACATACACAGTGCCCACGCTGCTGCTCCTGACAGCATGTTCAGAGACAGTCAAATCCCACCACTGCCATCTCTCTGTTGTAGCTCTCATGAAGCACCATGTAGTCAAATTAATGCAGTTGTTCTTTTCAGGTCAATAGTTAAACACATAAAAGTGCAATTGCATTTGAATGGGTACCACCATTTTGCTTGGGGACTGCATTAACAGTGTTAAAATTGCATGCAATTCCTGTGGGAGGTGCTCCATCTACAGACCTCATAGAAAATCTAAAGTTTGTGATGCATGATGTGATGCCCTTCACACTATGGAAGCCGTATTAAACAAGTGTTATTTTAATGTGGTAGTGAATGGCTTTATTACATTTCTAAGAACTCAGATGTTGACCAGAAGCTTGAGTGCTACAGTAGTTATCCCTACAGTGTATAAAAGTATGCATTTTTCATATCTCCGTGAGCATTCATTCTGAAGCTAAAGTTAAGCCATGGTCTCTTGCTCACTGGTGGAGGTTATATCTTAGGATACTGAAATTTGGTGTGTCAGTACTGATAAATAACGATTAATGATTTTGGTTAGAAATGTGTATTGGTAATTCACTGTGATATTCATAGGGATGCTAATTTTCACAGGCAAAAGATAAATTTTTAAAAATTCACTTGAAGAAACTGAACAGCCGACTCCTCCTTTATGTTGAACAAGACTTAACAGCCACCCACTCTTTACTAAAGGTTGCTATGTTCCTCTAAACATTACAGAAAATATTTTTAAAAATCTTTATATTTACTCTTAAGTTACAAAGATACTGTATAATACAAGACTATGGAAGAATATGTTATAATGGTATGATCTCTTTCATTTGGTCCATGATGCTATTAGAAGCATGAATGTTCCACTGTAACCTCTCTCCTGCAGGGACAAATCCCTCTCAACAAGTGTTGTGTGGAAAAAACATGTACACAGTAAATTTATTTTTCTCTTTCTTCTTCTGCTCTTGTATGTGAATATCTACACAATTATACAAATGAATGCACTAAAGCAAGAAAAACATTGCATTTCGCTCTCACGAAAACAGACTATGCGGATAAACTACATTTCTGCATCCTCACTGCATATCATTGACAACACTGGGGACTGTAGGGCATGGATGGTGGCAGCAGATGATGGATTGGAGGGTAGATCACCTATTTGTAGAGCAAATGCAGAGATTTGCTGTCCTGACATCTACTGTCGGCAAGCAAGTGGCTCAAAGCACAGTGATTGACACAGCACTGGGTGGCAGCATGAGCAGTGTCTTAAAACCAGACACAATTTTCCTTTTGTGTGTGTGTTTTTTTTAGTTATACAGTTTGTACCAGACTGTAAACATGCTTATTTCTGCTAGAAAGCTAAGATTCTAATGATGGGGAGTTTTCACATTTAGCATCAGCACCAAGTGGCAGTTCCAGAAACTACTTTCTCTTTTTTTTTTTTTTTTTGCACTTTCTTGATTCCTTTTTCAGCTGTGGCAGTTGATAATACATCATATCACAATGGCAGTTTTTTTTATTTTTTACTTTAATAGTGTGTATGTGTTACTCCTTATTATGTTTTTACACTTAAAAATTGAAAATTAGCCCTCAAAAACTGTATAATAACAATAACTTTATAGTAACACACAATAAAAAAAAGGTATTTTTCACAACCTTGCACTGTTTAATAATTGTATTATTTTTATTGCATTCCATGGTACATGTTGTTGTTAGATGTTTTTGATACCATTGCCATCTCTTTTATTCTTTAGCATTCCTAAACCAGTTACTGAATATATATTTTATTTCTTCTAACGGCAGATCTGTGAATGGTGACACAGTGTAAGTGGAATTAGATAAACTGTGCAGTGCCATTCTCTACGCTTTACCTGCGAAGCATCCATTTCTCTTAGATTGATTGAAAATGAAACTATGATTGATGCGTAAAAGAAATTGCAAGGGGACAGCTGAGTAGCACTGACATTCCCCACCCGCCCCTGCTCTTGCACAAAGATTGAAATTAGTGACCTTTTGATAAAGCAAACTGGTAATTTAATTGATGCTGAAGCCATGCGATGAGGACCTCATTAATAGCAAGCATGAGCCATATTTGTAAATGTTTATATATGTCAAGGGCTTTTGAGCATGCTCTTTCTGTTTGTGTTTGTGTGCCTGTATGTGTATACTGCATGCCATATCTCATCTCTTATTTTGCTGCATTGCTGCCAATCCATCTCAGGAATGCATCCTAGCAACTAATACTTCTGTTGTGGTGTCCAGCAGAATGTGTGCCTGAGCATTTAACCTTGTTGACCCAGAATGCATCCTGATCTTCCCGCAGAGTTTCTCCCTACTGTTTTGATGAGCTGATAGCAACAATCGCCTGAAACCAAGCTGAAGCTCTCAGAGTCAATAAGACAATATGTTGGAGACCCAGGGCTAAATCCCCAGTTCCACTGCTATAGGATAGAGGAAACACCTTTATCTTTTTGATTGAATACCTATCTATCTACTGTAATAGCCTGACTGTTTGAGTGTCTTCCTGAGTCTCTGGGTACCTGTCTATATTTCTAACTACTCTCTAGCTTACTGCGGTTGCTCTATTAAACAAGGGTGTTTCTCTTCCTGACACTAAAAGACAGCACAAAGTGAGACTGAAGTTAAGAATCGCAGTAAATCTGTTTCCTTGATTGGGCTGATTCAACACATGGATTTTCTTAAGTGTACAGAAAAAAGTAAAGGTATACGATAATGTAATTCTCCAACATTACAGAAGCTCGGCCAGATTTATGGGGTTTTTGTTGTCCTACATATGTCTTCATTAAGTTGTTCACTCTGCACCAATTAATTCAGCCTTACGCACTCATTAATGTGCCTTTTTTTCTGATGATTGGTTTGCTTTTTGCCCCCCAGTCTTAATCAAACTCATCCCCACACTGCAATAAAGGGAAGAAAAAGAGAGAGAAAGCACTTAACATCATTTTGCAATTACCAGGATACATTTGTGCTGCCTGGAATATCATATTGTTTTTCTGCAATGGTTATGCAGCCTGATACTGAAGATTGCTGCACCTTTTGAAGCCTGCAGTCACACAGAGATGCTTGGAGTTGCTCTCGGGACAAGGCTGGAGGTGATTTTGGGGGGGGGTTGCATTTCAGAAATATGAGTAGTAGCTACATGAGCAAACTAATTAAGACATTTTCTCTACCCACCAAACAATCAACAACAGAATTTAACCATTGATCTTCCCATGGCTACCAGCTGCACAGCTAGAAAATATGCAAGCCAAGCATGTATTTCTAATAAAACTAAAGCCTGCATGAGAAGGGAATGCTATTGTAATTATTATGTAATATTTGTTTGTTAATTGTTCATATCTTGATGAGGAAGGCCATGAAATATCCTGATGAGAAATACTAAAACTGTCCTGGACAAAGCGCCCTCAGGGAGCGAATTACAGTAAACTACAATCTAAATTCATGAACATGTCATGTCAAACTATTAATACATGTTTTGTATGCGTAGCGCATGTCTAAATGCATCACGAGTGAAAAGAATCAGACAACGCGTTAGACAGTCAGGGGAGCCACTTGTGAGATTTACACATAGTGTTTGGGAGCACGACTGTTACATCCGTCCAGCTGATATTCGTCGAAGGTTACACGCACATGGATTACCAAATATGTTTTGTCTTGTTTCATTGTTGTTGTTTTCTTTAGATAGATCACCACCACTACAAAGTGATAATAATGATGTATTTTTATTTTGTAAGATTGGTAAACTTTAAATCTTTATAATGATAATTATATATACATATTTTTCATAACCGATGTATAATTTGATGTATACATTTGATACATGTTGGCTAACAAACCAGCCAGGATGAAGATGAATACACAGAAAAAATACATGTATCTCGCTAAACTGCGGTTCAAATTGTTCTATTGTGTAAACTATTTGAATTTGAGACATGGCCTCCTCCTGGTCGAGCGATATCGCTTATGTGGTGAGAAGCAGGATTAAATTCTTCCCTAACTCCCAGCACACATGCAGATAGATGGGGGTGGGGTGGTGGTGGCTGGGGTTGTGGGGTGGGGAATCTGTGTAGGTAATACCACTGCCACCTATTATCCAATGATTATTATTTATATGAGCCTTTGTGGGATGATATTGTATTTGGCTCGTTCTGTGTGGAGCTGGTGGGGCGCCTCATGTATGATTATGTGTCTCATCGGTTTCAGCCCTGTGTCAGTAATCTGTTTGTATGGAGATAGAGAACACACAAGCTCTGTAAATAATGCAAATCTGCTACTGGGCTTCACTTCTTCTTTCCTTTTCTGCCATCCGTCTCTTTGTGCCTTTCTTTAATCTTTATTTGTCTCTCTCTTTCTCTTTAGCACTCTTTCTCTCTCTCATAAAAGTCAAGATTAAGCATTCTCTAAAGTCCTGCATGACGATAATCTGAACCACCCTCCGTATCCAATCTTTCAACAGACAGTGGTGTATTCCTATGCGGGGGGGAATCAATTGTCCCTATAAGCCTGATGATCATTGGTTTGACAAGGGAAAGCATTTTATGATTTGAGATACATCACATCCTTGATGAAGTACAATTTTTTAAAAAAAAATATATATTAGGCCTGCTGCCCCTTACTGAGGATAAAATCCTATGGATTTAATGTTGGCCATGGGGCATAATTGATTCTATCGGCTCACAGCATAGAAGGAAAAGGATGAGAAAAATCTAGTCCTTAAGTTTTTTAATGACTATGGCTTTAACATCATCTACTCATGTTCTTTGTTAATTGAAAAATTAGAAGGAAAAAGTCAATCAGTTGAAAAACATATCCTACAGGTAAAAAGACATGAGAGCTCTTTGTATATATGTACTTAATGTGTCCCTTATTTATTTGTTTTCTTACAGAAATCCTAAATGGAGGTGTTTATGTTGACCAAAACAAGTTCTTGTGCCATGCGGACACAATCCATTGGCAAGATATCGTCAAGTACCCAAGGATCCAACCTGTGGTGGTGCCCACCAACAGCAGTGTCACATGTAAGTAACCCAAATGGTACACATGAAGAAAATGAGAAAATTTTTTTTTGCAAAAGCTAAAAAAGGCACTTAAAATATATGGATATCCAGGAAAGCCCAACAAAAACCTGAATCAGTGGAAAGATGATTTCAAAAACGACATACCTGTCCAACGTTTCCATTTTATGCTCTTCCTCTCCAAAGCATGAAGTGTAGATGCATGCAGAAGATTTCAGTGAGTTGTAGTAAGATGGAGTAACCACAGAGAGAGAGATTTTGTTTCAACCCAACGTGAATATAATCACAGGATTTAAACAGACATTATTAGCACATTTACATGTAAACACATATTAGCCGCCTAGCTTAATTGTTTCTGGCAATTAAGGACCATGGAATGTACTTCACACATTTTTTGCTCACTACCAACTTCTTGGTTTTAAATACATTATCTCCCCCCACTGGTAATGCAACTTCTACATGCAGTAATGCAATTTCTCCATGCATGTCCATTTCACGTTTTGTAGAAATGGACAAGGTGGACTGGCATGTCTATTACATGTTTTGCTGTGATACTGGGTTCCATCAATCTATCCAATCCACACATGCAAAGAAAACAAACCATAGGATGTCCATAAATTATTTTATGTGTAATAATGAGAAATGACACAGGGAAAAACTACTGAAGAAGTAATGCATGAAGAAAGGGAGGTGTAGAAAAGGCATGGAATGCCATGACACAAGCTGAAATCTATCAGTAATTAAAAAGCAATCCTGCCACTTTAGTGCAAATTAATATCAGCCGGTTATGTCCCAACTGATGGCCTATAAAAAGGTGTCCCATTACAAAGGTGTCACACAAGAAACATGATGGGTAAAACCATTGGGATTATTGTCTTTCTGAAACATCCACCCTTGTTTCATATTCATAGCAGATTTTTATCAAGAATGTCTTGGTACAGTTTTCTATTCATCTGTCCTTCAATTATATGAAGTGTATATACAGAAGAAGAAGACTGCTGTAGTGATAGATGTATCTATACCGACTGACAGCAACATCAGGAAAAAGGAATTTGAGAAGCTGGAAAAGTACCATGGGCTGAGAGAAGTACTCGAGAAGATGTGGAGGGTGAAGGCAACATGGTCCCTTTTTTGTGTGTGGGTGTGTGTGTGTGTTTTTGTGCATTCTGTTGTTTTATGTATGTAATACACTTTTATACATTGAGTGAGTTACTGTTGCCCAATACCTTATTTCAAAGTTTTACCAATCAAACTTTTACCAAATAGGCGTTGTTGTTGTTTTTTTTTTTTAATTTAGTTTATTTATGGTATATATTTAAGGTACATTTAGTTTTGCAACTGATAGACAGTTTTTTTTTCCCTTTTAAACAACCTAATAATAATAATAATAATAATAATAATAATAATAATAATCTTTCACACATCATAATTTCTCTCACCTGTCTTTTAATTTATTTCTTGATTTTTAAAAAAAAGTAGCTGAGACAGTGTACCCTGATAATGAGGGTAGCAGATGTGATGGCTCAGTTGCTTAAACAAACTTGATTGAAGTCACGGCCACTCTACCTGGCAGTTTCTGTAACTCAAATTTGCAGGAATTTGTGCTAATTCTGAATTAGTCTTTGAAAATGTCTTTTCATAATTATTCCCCACACACTTCCCAAAGTCTTTCAGTGGCAGGTTATTTTTGACAAAGGAAATGATCCAGAGGAGGCCCATTATCACAACCTGGTCGATTCACAATAAATGGCTGAATGTGAGCAGCAAAACACTGTCATCACAAAATCACCTTTTGACCCTATTCTGTCACTCTGCTTACCAAAACAATTCACAATGACTGCTAGCTCACATCACTTAAATGTCCTTCTGTAGCCAGCTGGAAGACCCGTTAATGAATGCATAGCATTATGATGGGATTTATTAGTGTGAAATACACATACTCAATCTGTCAGAGGACAGGGGGTGATCAGTGAAATAACAATGCATTTACTGATCTCCTCTGACCCATTATTATTAATTTGCTGACTAAACCTCTTAGCATACTCGTTTCTCTTTGTTTTTAATTAACATTAATTCCTCATGCTTTTTGACATTTAAATCCAATGTTGTTTTCACAGTTTTTTTTTTCAAACTGTCTCATCTGATTCATTTACAAATGGAAACAAAGTAAAAAATGATAAAATACGCTATCACTGACTCTGATATAAACAAACAGACTTTTCCTTTTTGATGCATATGTCCTTGGAATCATCTCATAGTACTAGCTGAGGGCTTCAGATGCATGCTAAAAGCTCCAAGCATTGATATTCTGCTCAATCACCCTCCTCCCTGCAGCCCTGTTAGCCCTTGATCGACCCCGACTCCTTTGCAAGTCTTCCACCCTCGCTGAAAGATCAAGGGTCTGCAAACTTGTAATCCACAATTGAGAACATAATCTCTCTGTTTCATTTTTTTCGCAGCGACACAAGCTTCATGTTGTTTTGCTTGTGACTTATTTGTGCCATGGTTGTGTTGTGTTATTGGTTTCAAAATAGGACTGTGATCTTTTTTTTCTGTTTTTTTAAACGGATGCCCTGTTGATTCTGTTTAAACACCTCCATCTTTCGCTTGCTGTACACTGACGCTGGTATGGCAGCAGTTTCAACATTTTAACCTTCAGGGGATGTTAAAGATTACGGTGCATTCCGGGAAAGGGGGTTTGACGGTCTTATACAAGGTCAATGAGGATTTAGAAGCTGAGATAGTGAAGGCCATGGTCACTGAATGAAAACTCTTTGACTTGACTTCCTGGGGCACATAGCACGGAGAAGAACAAAGAATTAAGGAAGAACAGCAGAAGTTCTGCCTGTATGGCTGGCGGACATTTGTATTAATATCCCATTTGTATACTGCTTTCATACAGACAAAGCTGCCAGCCTTTCTCTCAAATTTTACTAAAGTGTCAGTTCAATAGGGACACACTGGAGAAACAGAAAAAAATAAAGAAATGTAGTGGTTTAAGAAAAAGGGGACAGGAATAGGCACTAAGGGAAAGAGAGCTACAGAGGATCTATAAGCGATGGATGAAGAGAAAAATATGTAGTAGAAAGGCTCAAAAATGAGGAAGAAGAAGAGGGCAGAAGATGGAGATTCTCATGTTGAGCAATGGAGTCAGTCGGATGCTAATAGCTCTCATCTGGAGAGGCTGATGGACAGAGGACAGCACTTCTGCACTTATCCAGACTCACTTCTCCCAGCAGTCAATTACTAGACAGTCAATTAAGTCCTCCAAAAACCCAGAAAGGCACTGGCTAAAGCTCTGAGGGTATGATGCTGCTTACCGCTTCTTCACTGCTTTTATCTCAACCTGATGTGTGCTGGCTTCATGCTGGGCTGGTTTAGCGTGGAGTGGCAAAAAGAATCATCTTATTTTCCCAAAATAACCTGTGCCAAGGTTATTTTGGATTTTATTACCACAACAGCATATATCAGTCAAGGAAGATGGATCGTTCCTGCCATAAAATATATATGTATAAAAAAACATTAATGTTGAGAATTCGCAAAGGTTTTTTTCTTAACTCTTAAGATTATATCAGTTAAATATAGTATCATCATCATATTAATGAAATTAACTGCTGCATGCTACTTGGCAGTACCTACAGTTCAATGATTACAATCATAATTGCAATAACTTTAATTATTTGGTGCCTTTAAAGAGTTTTTGTATAAAGAGTTCTGGCAGACAAGCAAAAGCAGGACTCAAACAGAAAAGAAGGACCAAGAGCCAAAAATAAAAAGAAGAACATTAGGACAAATTGCACAATTGTATCCCTAAAAAATACCAATAAATACCAATAAAGGGATATGAAGGAAGTCAATGAACATTAAAATCTAAAAATCAATCCTAACATGTACAGGATTATATCCAGGAAGAAGTTGAGCTGTTGCATAACTAGGTGAGAAAGACACTATTGTGGTATAACATAAGAATGACTTATTCCAAGTTTTAAAAAGGTTGCAATTGCTCAGTGTGAGCAAACAGAATGCACCTATGCATGCATATCCAAAGAAAAACATACAAATAGATATTAAGTGAATTCAAAGGTAAACCACATGATCCTCCATAGCTTTGTTCACTATCTGAGCTTGGTTTGCCTTTGGTTGAGTGCTTGAAGACAAACTCCAGCAGCAATTCTCTGTTCTGTTTTAAGGTTGAATGACACTGACAATAGTTTGTGAAGTTGCAGTTTGAAATGCCAATAGTCTCTTTTCTTGAACCTCTGTGCAGGTCAAAAATGCCACCGTTCCTGCAATGGTCGTTGCTGGGGACCCAAAGAGGACCAGTGCCAAAGCTGTAAGTTAATTATTATTATCTGATTAGAACTTTGTAGTGAGTTGTTAGAATCACCACTGAGTGACTTTTGCATACATCAAAACTTTACTGATAACTGTTGTGGGTCAAAAATAAAATTTAGCATATCTTTAGCATACCTGGCAATGTACTTGGAACAAGATTCCAAGCTTTATTTAGTGGATATACCTTTGGATGTCATTTATGTATACATCCATGTGAATCCATCAGTTTGTTTATAGTTATAAAATCAAGCTATTGCATATAAAATAATAAAAATAAAAGCCATGTTCTTACTCTATTTTTATTTTGTGTGTGTATATGTGCGTGTATCTGAACAGTGTTATGAACTGTGAGACTTGTTACTGCAGGATCTTTCAGTTTGAAAACAGGAAATGAAAGTGCCATTTTTGTAAATGACAAATCTCTTATTCTTGAATTAAAATTGAGTCATCTGTTGGATTGGGCAAATTTCACTAAATCACAATATCAACTTTGAGACATCAGACACTAGGCCAAAAACTATTTTCCAAATAATCAAAGACTTTTGTCTTTTTGCTCACTTGTTGATATTTTGCATTTATTTTGTTTGGTTTATACTAGTCATAAAAAGAAATGCAACTTTGTGTTAAAATATAGACTGTATTGACCAACACTGTAATATGTGTGTAGATAGATATATTAGCTGGGCACAACCATAACCATAATATTATGTAGTTTCACAGGCAAAATTACAAAAATAGTTTAGGCAGCCTGTTTGATACATGGGTGACAAAGGGTTAAGTCTTTAGTTTAACTCAGGGATCTCAAACTCCAGTCCTCGAGGGCCAGTGTCCTGAAACTTTTCCATGTGTCCCTGTTGCAACACAAATTAATAAAATTAGTAGGTCATCAGCAAGAGTATAGAACTTGACTGCATGCTGGATTGGTAACTCCTAAGTAAATGTAAATGTTTGGAAAAATGTACTTCTAAAAGTACTTTTATTGCACCATGATCATTCACGGATGAACTGCTGTAACATGAATCAAATGGCTGAATTGTCACCGCAGCATCCAGTCAAGTTCTATAGAGTCTTGCTGATGACCTGCTAACTGTATTCAGGTGTGTTGCAACAGGGACACATGAAAAAGTTTCAGGACACCGGCCCTCGAGGACTGGAGTTCGAGACCCCTGGTTTAATCTATGAAAAATACCATAATATAAAGAAAATTTTCTGACAAACATAATATAATATTTTTAGACCATCGAGGTAATTCCTAAAGTGCAAAAACTTGGCATGTCTTTAGCATGGTGTGCAGTGTGTTCTTAAAAAGAAAAAAACTTGAGGAAACTGGACAAGTGGAAGACAAAAGAAGCGGTAGGTCTAAAAAAGCAGATGAAAAGTATCAGAAAGTCATGTCCCAAGAAATAAATAAAAAAAAAAACAGCAAAGACCTCATAGAGGACCTGAGAGGAGAGGACCATCCAGCCCTTCAGTAGAACCATCTACTGTTCACCGAAGCCTCTTTAGAAATGGTCTAAGTGAAAAAAATGGCTGTCAAGAAGCTAGTCCTAATCTAGAGAAACAGGGAAAAAGGCAGAGGTATGCCACATTACACAAGAGCTGCACTGCAAATCAGTGGCAACAGGTGTTTATGGAAATAAGAGGCCGGATTGAGCACAGTAGTTTGTAAGCATATTACTCACAAACTAAGTGCAACTCCATGCTGCCTCTGTGGAAACGGGACATGAGAATATCACCAATAAATTGGCATCTAAAATTATATTTGAATTCCATAAAGTGAAGGTTTTCCTGCTTGTTGCCCCAAAGGGATGACATCAGATTTTTCTTTAGGTTTTTGGTTTTTTTTGCTGTTGAAAGTCATCATTTCTTTTGAGGAGACTGTATGCTCTCCAAATTAACACACATGATATTGTGGTATTTTAATAAACACAGCTCCACGCTGCAAAGGAATTTTAGCCTCAAAAATGTATAATCAACAGATCAGATCAAAATAATCAAAACAGGGATAGTCTTTAGATCATTCTGTCAAGCAGAAAGTTTGATGTGGCTTCGACTGGTATTAAATAGATGTTGTCACACGGATTTTATCAGTACTACTGGTTGGAAATTTTTAAAAACAAAGTTTTAGCAGCAATTTAAAATCAGACAAATCTTCTGTGTTAACTTGATTAAAGATCATTAATACAAAAATCCTAGATTCAAGGACAAAACACAACATCATCTACATTCACTGATTAAATTACTTGCAGTCTACAAGAGGAACAACATTTTACACAAGGCTGTGATGAGTGGTTGTTTCTTGTCTTCACCTATGAGGAAAGCTCTTGTTTTAAACCGGATCATTAAAAGATAAAAGTTTCACTGTGATGCAAATGATGTGTGACAGCCTAACAGCAAGTAGTGAAACAGGAACAGCAACAATCACTCCATTTTAACATTGCTCTACAGTTCTGAAAAATACAAAACAAGGTTTTTTTAGTAAAAAATATTTGAAGAATGTTGTAAGAGAGGGTTCGTCACATATTTTCTGATGATGATTCCCGCACCTCAGGCATGGGGGGTGTTGTTTAGGTTGGGAACCGGTAATGATTGTAATGCTAATGATGGTTTTGGCTCTCATACCTGTCAGGAAAAGCAATTCTTAATTGTATACAACATGTTTCTGACAAGGCATAGCCTCATCTGGATGTGATGCAAGCAGTCACCCATCTGTGCATGGACTGCACAAGTGTTTAGATCTGCTGTTGAGGAATTGCTCTCCATTCCTGGATGAGTGCAGCCTGCAGCTGTGTAATGCTCATTGGTTGTGGCTGCATTTGAAGAAATATTGGGTTTAAATGCTGGCCAAGGAAGTGTCTGGATATGCTCCTGATCCAGAAAGGCCTTCACTACCCTGGCAGTGTGAAGGTTGGCTTTGTCCTGCTGAAACAGCCACAGGGCTGGGATCCTGCTGCAAAAATTGCACAAATGCATGTTTGAGTATTTCATTTTTACTCTATCCAGTCAAATGTTGAGCACGTCGACCAATAGGCAGATCAGAAATCGTTGTCTCACGGACATGAAAGGCTGCAGCAACAGCTAAGTCATGCATGCCAGCATCCAGCATCTGGTCTCATTCAAATTTAGTCAGTAGCAGCACGGCAGCACTGTTGTGCATATATGATGCTTCAGAATGCAATTAACTTAACGAGTTCTGAGGTGTTCGGTAAACATTGGCTAGAGAGAGAGATTGGCTAATGCAACATGCTTATGCCTACACAAGTAAACATCAAATAAGGCCATTCCTAAGTATAGTGATATTTACAATATTGGTTGCTGCAAAAACATTAAATCATTTTTAATAATAAAATTAATAATTAATAAATAATTAAATTAATTAATTACTAATACTAAAAAAATATTTTGTTACAATTGCATTGTTTTCCAGCATGGTTCAGAGTAACTGTGCTTAAATTAATTGGGTGTCATAAAATGGTAATTTTTAAGGCTGCGCTTTTGTTAATGGTTAGCTCTACAAGCCCTCTTCACAGCCCACAGTGGCTCACCCTTCCATCTGTGTTTAACACATACTAACATCCACAGGAAGACTTCATCTTTAGTATATGTTTGACCTTTTTATAGTGGATCAGAAGAAAACAGCAAACTGTATGTACACATTTAGTTTTAGTCAGAAACAAAATTGTGTACTCACATGGAGACATGCTCACGTTTCTTTCCCCATTACATACCTCTTTACCTCTCACATTCCTTTTTTTTATTGTACCACCCTTCATCAAGTTCTTCCTCTTTGTCCATCACTTCATACTTAGACCACTTCATCTATGCCTTCCAACCCTGGCATGTCACATCTTATTTGTTCTGTGGTTGTGATCTCGTTAAGATAATGAGTAATGAACTGTTTGACCAGAACCTGTTAACAACACGTCACAGAGCAGGCCCAGATAAGCCCCGGCCCCATCTATCTGCCTTGTTTCAGCTGTGATCGCACCATCTCTCTATCCTCATCCGTTTATTTGTGGATGCTATGATTCATCTTTTATTTTACTTGCTTTCAAAAAAGAAAAGCTTTTTTTCTTGCACTGGAATGCTTTTAATTATGAAGTTTAATTATGAAGAACCAAATAGACCGAGGAAGTAAATTACAATTCAAAACCACACTCTTTACTGAGTCTCTCACATAAAAACTGGATCTCTGTCAGCAGAGGTTTTTATTAGTTGTACCACTGGCTGCAGAGATCACAACTGACAAGTCCTGACTGGTCCTGACTGGTCCTTGATAATAACAGATGACATCAGACCCTTTGAACTGGGTGGTGATTGTGATATATATATGTGTGTGTGTGTGTGTGTGTGTGTGTGTGTGTGTGTGTGTGTGTGAGTATGCACTGCGTGAAATGCAAAGAGGAAGTTTTGCTCCATCTTTCCCATGTTAAATTGCATCAAAATAAATTTCTGGACCTTCTAAACACACAAAATAGAAACACTGTGAGACTACAAGTGGTGAATATCTCAGATCTATCAGCTCATAGATAAAAAGAAAAGAAGCGTATGTAGTCACAAACATCCCATGATGAAGGTGTTTATTCATTTCAGTTTATTCATCATAGCCTTATCACTACATCTAATTAATGAGGCATTTTTGAAATGCAAATAATTTCAAAAACGGGGCATTAACAAAGGCATTAATTAGCAAATAAAGACTTATACTTGTCAAATTAAGCACACTATTTATCATTGATATGCTTTCCATTTGCTTTAAGAAGTCCTTTCACTTTCAACATTGGAAATCACTATAACTGATATGCAATTGAATTGACCTCCTGCGTCAAACTGCTACCTTTTAACTGTAAACTTTTGAGCCATTGCACTGTAAGGCAAACATTTGATCTATAGACATTCATGCCCTATTTAAATAAAGTTACACTTAAGAATAAATTGAAAAATTAACTGAATATTTTGTCTCAGAAAAAGACAGGCGTTGAGAACCAGATGTGCCCAATAATAATAATAATAATCGCAATAAATTCACAGGGGAACTCAGAGGCATTGGTTCCTGTGAGTAATGTCTGTAATTTGATTTGTTTTGTTTTTTGTCTTTAGTTATTCTTAACCTCCTAAGACCCGAACTCTTCCACGGCATGCATTTTTAATTTCTCTTTGATATTTGGTCACACTGGGGCCCGATTTTTTTTTTTTTTACCTTATTTTTGTTTTTAATAAAAATAAGAGCCACATATGAGGATATTCATTTAAAATTGTGATAGAACAGTAACAGTATAATGTCCTCATAAGTGGATATCAGGCCCTTGTAGAGCAAAATTCAGTATTTTGGTCTAAATAACCCAAAATGTGATGTCCACATATGTGGACGCCAGGTCCTAGGAGGTTAAAGTGGATTTTTAAAGCCAAATGGACTAACATCATTGTGTCCGTCTCTGGCGATCTGGCTTGGCCATTTGTTTGACAAAGTGTCTTTTGAATAAAGCAGACCATATTAATGCAGGCCAGGCACTGTTAATTGAATGCTACTCATGGTAAATCAGTAGCATTCCACTCAGTAGCATGAGTGTGTGTGTCTGTGTGTCCATGTTTGTTTGGCGACTTGTCCATAGCTTTTATCTAGCATGGTGATGGTGTCCTGTCAACACAGGGCTGCAGGGAAACATAACACAGATCAAAAAAACAATGGCCTTACGTTCCCCAGTAATATTTACTGTTGCAATTTACTTTCTTAGTTTCAGTTCTGACCAGTTCGCTTTAACCTTTATCACCAAATGTATTCTTAAAATTACATTGAATTTTATTCTAATTACATTCTCTTGTTGTTTGTGTTCAGCTCCACGTCGTCGAGCATCTTTCACCTCATACAACCAAAAGCCATAGCTGTCACTAATTACCAACATGACTGAGTATAAAAAGAACAGAGAGCCTCAGTCATTTAGAAGTAAAAGTAAATATGATAACAACAAAATTATGCAAATAGTTTAATTTGTAATTACAGTACATCCATTTATCCAAACCACTATGTATAATATCTTTTTTAACCCACCCCAATACTTTATCTTGTGCCAACTTTACTGGTTCATCCATAACTGCTTAGTTATGTATTCCTGCTCTATAATGAAAGTCCCACTGCTGACACTCAAGCTATGTCAATTACCAGCTGTCTTTACCTGTGAAATAGCAGGGTCCTATGTACATTTATATATGGCTGTCAAGAAGAAAAGCACACAGACATACGGCCGCCCATATGATTGCAAAGGGCATGTAAGGAAAAGGTGGACAGATGTTCACTTTGGTAGTACATTCAGATAAGAATCGCTATGTCTTTGTCACACTGAGCCAGACAGCATGATTGAAGATAGCTAGTAGGTGGTAAAAAAAACTTCTGCTTCAGCTGAACTCACCAGACACAGACACATGTAAACATGTGTATGCATGCATTTTACAAAGCAACAGATGGTAGGTAGGTTAGTATAGTATATATAACTTCCAGAGCAGATGATGAAGTTGAACCAAATTACCCCCCACCTCTCAAAGGTTTTACAGTGACAACTTTCCAGTGGCTGGGCTTTAATTTTTTTATTTTCACCTGCCATTTGAACTGGCTAGACAGACACATTCTAAGACTGTGTTGTGTTTACGTTTTATATATGCATGCATAAAGTATGTGTATTATATATACATTTTATCCTTTGTTTGTGTCTCTCTCTTTTTAACATGCCTGTAACTTCAAAGTAACTAAGACAGTGTGTGCGGAGCAGTGTGACGGACGTTGCTTTGGTCCCTTTGTTAGTGACTGCTGCCACCGTGAGTGTGCAGGTGGCTGTTATGGCCCAAAGGACACAGACTGCTTTGTAAGTGAACACACACACACATACACACACTTTACATCATTACGGTGTGACAAAAGAGGTTAAAGTGATCATTTTCCTGGTGATATTACCATGTCAATATGGTTACGCAGATAACATTTTGTGTTAACACTTTGTTTTACGTTTTTCTTGTTCTTCTTTTTTTTGGTGTCTTAAGTCTGACACATTTTACTTGTCACTTTTTCCTTCCTTCAATTTCAGGTACCTCTTAAAATGGATTTCACTCCGTTTTTAAATGCCACTTGTATGGCAAATATCATTTGATGACATTTAATTCTCTCTTCTTCCTGACATGAGTGTCATTGTTAAATATAGACTTCACCGGGAACTCTTCGTTCTGACTTTTTGCCATGTGCTTTATCACTTTTATCTGTGCTCGTTTGCATGCTAAACTTGTTTCTGAGGCTGTGAGTCCGTGGCTAATCGAGCTCTTCTTCCTGGCTTTGGAAAAAGCAAGTTCTGTATCATAATTTTTTATTCTTCTGTCCTCTTCACAATCATCATAAAAAGAAAAGCAAATTCTTGATTGAATCTTGGCAAATTCAAAGTCTAAGGACACAAGAATTTATTTCTATATTATTATCATAGATAACATTAAATGTGAACAAGTATGTGTTTTTTAGGGTCTGTAATCACATATAGAATAAGTACATGTCTTAGTACAGGGATATCCATCCATCCATCCATTTGCTTCCGCTTCTCCTTTTCAGGGTCGCGGGGGGCGCTGGAGCCTATCCCAGCTGTCATAGGGCGAG